GAGGTTAATCGGCAAAAATAACACGTGCGTACGTGTTAGTTTTGACGGATTAATCTTAAATTTTGCAAGATTTTTTTTTGCGTGAATCATTGTGGCCTTATAAGAAAAGCCTAAACTCAACTGCGTTATCCTAGTCCGGATTAAGGAGAAAACTCAACTGCGTTATCCTACTCCGGATTAAGGAGAAAACTCAATTTTTGTTTTTTTATATTTTATTTTTCTCAAAAACGATAAGATTTAGAAAAAATATTTTAATCAAAAAATGTAGTCCCTACAATTTATGTTATTAAGTCGATCGAAAATTTCAGAAGTAGTTAGGGCCAAAGTACCAAAAAAAGCGTTGTATCGCTTTTTGAACTCGATTTTTTTTTAACGCAGCACTATTATTATATCTCACAATAGTGTTAATGTTAATAGTAATGTTAATGTTAATACCCAAAGCATAGAAATATGCGTGTATCCGTTCACAATGATGGTAATGTTGATGGTTACGTTGATACACGCATTTGTCTATGCTATATAAACATTACCATTAACATTAACACTATTGTGACAAAGGCATTAGGAAAGTTGATTAGCTTGAAAAAAAACTACAAAATTTATTTAAACTTTTTTTTCCTACGATAAACCGTTTCGGAGTTTCGGAGCACAACGTGTTTTTGGTGAAACTCAAAAAGTTTTGGATTTAATTTTTTTCAAAATCGGTTAGTTTAAGAAAAAAATTTTGTCAACAAAAATGTAGGGTGCATTGTCCCCTACAATTTATGTCATTGGGTCGATGCTCTAGGACAGAAAATTGAAAAAGTAGGTAGCGCTAAAGTACACAAAAAAGCGTTTTATCGCGTTTTGACCCCGAATAAATTTTTTTAACGCAGGACTGTTATTACGAAAGTTGTTTATCTAAAAAAAACACATAAAATTTATATACACTTTTTTTACTACGATGGACCGTTTCGGAGTTATATCAGCCTTCCGAATTTTCTCAATTATTTCTTAAAAAACCCCTGTGGGGCACGTGTTCCCTTTGACCGAATGACCTAAAATTTTGCAGGAATTTTTTTTTAATGATTTAGAACCGATTTGGGGGGCGGCTCTGTTAAATTTTTTCCGACCCCTAAATAAGGAACACCCTAATATATATATAATATATTATATATACCTATCTATAGGTATTAAAACTGCAGGTTAAAAATATACTATGGTATAAAATAAACTTATAAAATTGTTATGTTTATTATTATATGGTTTATATCTGTAATTTTATATGTTAATCAAAGTATATTGTTATCCCGAATATTTCAGTAATTTTCAAAATGCTCTTCTGTAAAATTATAAAAATGGGATTGTGAGATTGACGACTATAGGTATGCTAAATTTATTGTAAATATATACATATTTAATACAAATACAGTTCTGTCTTAATTATTTTTAATCATAAAATTTGTTAACCTGAATATTGCAAAAATCTTCTCCAGTAAAATTATAAAAAATCTCTAAAATTATAAATCACTTTGTGAGGTTGACGACGATATGTTGATATAAAATGTGCTTTAGGTTGGATGATTTTTAAAATAAAACACTTATTTGATGATTTTATTAAGAAAGCGAAGTATATATATTTAAATATTTTATAAAATCCAATATTTTAAAACTTTTAAATTATATTTATAGACATATTATTTAAAAAACATAAATAAACTTAAAAAAAATAAATATAATATCTTTAAGATATAGATAATTATAATATAACCTTTAAAATTATATTCATAGCATCGTCACAGGCGATATCTGCTAATACTCCATTAATGAAAAAAATTTATTAATAATAAATATAACCTGATTTTTTTATATTCTTGTCACAAATTTTAAATGTCTTTTTTCCCTCCTAATGTCTTCGGCATCATTGCATTTTTTTTAAACATTTGCCTAAATGCCTAAAAATGTGTTATTGGTACCTGTAAAAGAATAGGTAAAAGAGCCTTACCTTTTAGAAACAGGTCTAGTATTCCTAGTTTTCCTAACTAACATAATTATTATAATTATAATATACCTAATTAATTAATCTTTTACAAGAACAAACACTTAAATAATATCTCCACCAACTTCAACAAACTTTTCAGAGGCTTTAAGCCGTAATTTTCGTTTTTTATATATTCTAATGCAAATTTACTTATACCACACATTGCAAACTGCGAAGATAACGCAATTGTGTATGTTTTATATTTCGGCAATCCTCTCAAAACTAGTTTTTGTTAATAATAAGGTTTAGTCAGTTATAAATGTATTTTTCTACTCCCACCTTTAAAATGCCCTTTATCGTACATGTTTCCATGACATTAAGTGATCTTTTAAATACACATTGACAAGTTGTGCCTTTACGGCGCTTTAGTCACGGGCTGAAGTTAGTTTTAAGTTAGTTAACAGTTGTCAAATGTCATACAATCGTTAAAATAAATTGCCTTTCTTGTAAAATAATACTACTGTCTGTCCACTCTAAGTTGGCGGAACTAAGGAATTTTGTTGTTTAGATATTAAAGAATTGTCGTACTGTGTGCTAAGCACACTGTGCTTTTAAAACAGATTTTATATTAATAAAAATACTAGTATATATTATATACTAGTATTATTTATAATATAAAATCTCTTTTAAAAGCACCCAGTACGACAATTCTTTAATATCTAAACTAAGGAATTTTGTATACAAAATTCCTTAGTTCCGCCAACTTAGAGTGGACAGACAGTAAGTAAATGTGAAAATTATTTTATTATCTCAATACAAAAATATTAAATAGTTTCTTAACGCCAATATTTGAAAAGTTTATATAAACATTGTACTGACCTTTTAATTTCGCCGGCAGTAAACTATAACTTAAATTCGGGCACGGACTCCACTATAAAGTCGTCATAAAACATTTCCTTTACTTTCACTGTGAAAAACTGTCAATTTATAACCTTTATAATTGTGTTTATAAAATGTAAAAATGTGAATCTGAATGTGACATTTGACATTTTTCCCTGTTGTTTCATAGATGGCGCTCTATACAAATTTTTGATTTAAATCATTTTAAGATAATAATAAGTATTTGTCGTAGAAAAAGTATAGTATGCACCTCGTTTATAAACTTTTCTATACACTCATTATGTTAAGCACTCGCTCGCAAGCTCGCTCGTGCCTAAATTAAATTCGTGTATAAAATGGCGTTTATCAAACTTGATACATAATATACTATTATGTGTATATTTAATATACATTTTTGAAATGTATTATTCTTATATGATAATAAACACATATTTAAGATAACCTAACAAATCTTTACATGTCAAAATTTGCTATGTTGCCAAATTGGTTCAAACTGAATCAGTGTATATGCGTAAATCAGTTGATATAAATAAATCAACGTTTCTGCATACGGTCCTTATTATTTAATAAAAGTAAGATATATTTATTTAAAACTAAACTAATTACAAATATATAGAATTTGGAATTTTGTAGCTATGGCATTTGAAAAAACAAATGATAATATCTGAAAACTTTTTTACTGTCAGCCTGTCCATACGTTGTATATAGGTATAATTATATTTAATTTATTTAGTGGTTAAATTTTTCCGAAAATGAATCCAAACTCAAGTTGCAAAATAACTTTAAACTTTTACCATGTCGATTTTTAAAGATTTTAAAATATATATTTTGTTTAAAAGTGCTTTATTTTATATTTTAGAGCGGCTACTGAACTTAACAACTACATTAAAAGTTTACTATTTTTGGAATTTTTTACCAACTCCATGCAACTGGCAGCCAATTCATTGGCCTTACTCGACGTAAGTAAAAAAATACAAAAATAAAACAAATTTCCAAAAAATATATTTTTTGTAACTCGAAATTGGACCCATTTATTTATTTATGCTTCTGTTTTTAATCGGAAAAATTGCCGAAATTATGATTTTACATTATACTGCTGACGAAATTAAATCACAGGTACGTAATACCACGTTGTTATTACGTTACTATAACGTAGAGGTATAGTGGCCAAAACTTAAGCGAAACTTTAATCTTTAGATAGAAATACTTTCTATTCTTGTCTCTTTCCAGCATATTAAACAGTGCAGCAGCAAAAAAATGATGGTTTTCGTTTCTCCCATCCAAAGAATGCCTTTTTGCGTTTACAGAATGTTTAGATTGATTCAGGGTTTTTTTTTAATATCGATTTTAATTTTAATTAATTTTGGAACCCGAAAAACCGTAATTTATTAATTTAAACCAATTTACTGGTAGGAAATTGTTGTCATAATAAATTAAAAAGAAATAAAAAATAAAACAAAAATAAAAAATGGGTGTAAACATGTCAGTAAAAGTACATTTGATCCATGCACATCTTGACCTGTTCGAAAATCAGCTGTCCACCGAATCAGAAGAGCATCAAACAATAATGGAAATAGAAAATCTTTAAAGAGGAAAGAGGTTTGACTCGATATTGGCAGATTTTTGTTGGTCTATGGCAATGGAAATTTTGGCATAAAATTTTAAATAAAATTTGTTATATCTTGTATGTTGATTCATTCTATTTGTTAAAAAGAATATGTTTTAAATAATTAATATAATAATAATAATAAATAACTTAATTATTATTATGGTAGAAGCGAAAGAACTAAAGCCGGGTTCTAATAGAAAAGTAATTTAATTTAACTTAAATGTTAAAAACCCAACAATCCTTAGTATCGTTCATACAGTGATGTAATTTAAGACTAAATTTAATAGTTGGCCAACTTTTATCTTTTAAATTAAATTACGTTATTTCAAGGTTATTTCGTATTATCTAACCTATTTTGGGAGAATCTAACCTATTTTAAACGTGTAAACGGTTTTAATAATAAGAAAAATATTTCGATTTTAACTTGTCAGTTTATTTAACTGATCAGTTAGAGAAAACGGTGCAAGTGGCCATAACAGACAGTAAAAAATAAACGTAACTTAAAAAATTGACGTATTGACGTATATACTCCACAAAACACATATTACGACAGGGAATGCCAGCATTGGTTTTCAGAAATCGCACTAGGTCCAATGGACAATTGTGGATGTATAAGGTTACCAAATAAAAAGTACATGTTTTGCTTATTTGCATGCTTCGGGTTTATTTTTAAGTAACCTACAAGCAACTTCTAAGAAGTTATATTCAATTTCATCACTGATACCCTGATTAAAAACATCATTTATTGCAATGGCAGGTACGGATTTAAATTTGGGCGTCACCTCTTTGGTCCTTTTTCCATAAGCTACAAGAAGTTCGTCGGCCTTTCCGCTGTCCACGCATTTTCTAACGTCATCAAAGTTAAGATTGTTTTCTTCGGCACACTGAAAATATATATTTATGAAATTAAATGTACAGGGTGTCAAGAAAATGTCCTGTCAAAACTCTTAAGATCATTGTATACCCTGATAGCACACTTTATTCTAAGAATATTTTTTAAACCTTCCAGTGAGAATATTCTTAGGATCATGCTATATTTCTTCCAAAGAACATGCTTAAAGACATATAGCATGATCCTAAGCATATTCTTACTGGCCTATTATTAACTTTGCACCTTCTAAGAACCTGCCTATAATAGGCAGGTTCTTAGAAGGTGCAAAGTTTTAGTGGTAAAAATTAGTCTACTCTATGCTAAGAATGTTAGGAAAGTAATTCCTATAGAAAGTTCATTTAGGAATATTCCTGTTAAGCATATTTAGGTCAGCTACCTATATAATAGTAAAATATACCATAAACTACGTATAAATGTATATACCTATACTTAAGTAGGTACCTAATTAGTAATTAGTATTAAATACTAAGTAAAAAACACAATCCAAAATATTTTTTTATAGTTATTTGTCAAATTAAAACAAAACAAAATACTTTTACTGAATTGACATTTTTATGTATAATAATCCTAACTATCTTCAACTTCAATCTAATCTGACTTATCCCACAAAATTTTCCAATTTTACTTTTTATGAAACAATGTCATACAACTTATGGTTTAGAGGTCAAATTGTTTATTAAATATTTTTAAATAAATAAATATTAATATGTCACAAATTTTTTTAAGTACAAGTACATTTCACTGTCATATTATGACAGTGGGGCGTATTTGTCGTCTCCTGAAGAATGTAGAATACAACATATTAGAACGTAGGTATCTGACATATTTGGAAATATTCTCAAAAGCTTTCTAGAAGCTCCATAAGAAACCTTCTAAGAACATTCCAAAAACGTATTCTTAAAATGTTCTAAGGATGCTTTTTAGGAAGGTTTTAAGAAGCTTTTAACAATCTAATTGCATCATTAAAAGGGTATGTTTTAAAATAACATTCTTAGCAATAAGGGAAGGTTCTAAGAATATTCCATTATTCCAGGTCATATCTTCTCAAATTTTGCTATCAGGGTAGTAGGTAGGTATACCTACAATAGACTGGGCTAAAAAAATCGATTTTTTTGTAAAGTATATCGAAAATATTGTTTGGGGTGACAAAAAAAATTATGGTGAAAGTTTGAGTCCATAATATTAATATTAAGAGGTCTATCACCGCAATTTTAGATTTTTTTCCTGAGCGAGTTTTTGTCTCAGAACTGATTGGAATTTCCCGCCAGATGAACCGTTTTCAATCATGCCTTGAAAATTGGTATAGTTTTACAATTTGATATTTTAACTTTGGAATTTTGTAATTCATGTAAAAATCAGTACCCGGAAAAAACCGATAGATATCACTGTGCAACACCAAAAATCAAACCGCACCGGACTATTTTTTTCTGAAAATATACCTATCCAATAGCAAAACCCTCGCTGGGTTTGTAAAAGTTAGCTCGATTTATTTTTTTATGGCCGTTTGTATTTTCTAGCGTCATATACCCCAATTTAGACTTATTAATCGATTTTTTCGCATATATTCGATTTATATCGTCAAGATTTTTTGTAGAAATGTAGTTACTGAACAAATAAACCCATTTTGTGAACAACCTATATCCCAAAACCCAATTTTTGGGACCAAATATTCGAAATTTTTTATTTTTTTTTAATTTTTTCGATATTATTTAAAATTTCTTTGCTACTTCTTCTGGCAAACATTTTTTAAGTATACTAAAAGAAGTAATTTATAAAATACGCACACAAAACTAAACTTTAAGTTTACATATTTGCTGGAAAACAATTTTTAAATAAGATTTTCCAAAATATTCATCTTTTCATACTCAATAGGGTGAGCCAAAAAAACTAACCTATCGGATGTATGGGTTAAAATGAACCTACATACCGAGCAAAAAATTTCCCTGCAAGGCAAAATTTTTTGCTCAATTTTAAAAGGTGTCGGTGAAAGAGTGAAAAAAATCAAAATATTCAGTTTTAGTGACTTTTTACACTTTTCAAAGCTTTCAAACATACGAATTTTTGAATTAAAAAAAATAATCCTGGTATAGATTCTTTGGGAAATTGTATGCTCTACAAGAATCCGCGACGTAAAAATTTTTATCGTAAACGGTTCAAAAGTTATAGAATTTTTAATGAAAGAAGATTTTTTTACGTGTTATTTAAATGGGAAACTTTAAATGCTCACCGACACCTTTTAAAATTGAGCTAAAAATCCTGTCTTGCAGGGACATTTTTTTCTCGGTATATAGGTTTATTTTAACCCATAAATTCAATAGGTTAGTTTTTTTGGCTCACCCTAATACTCAACACCAATCTTTTTGCCGAAATCTTTGGAAAATCTGTAGGAAAAAATTGAATAGATAAAATAGAATTGTAGAAAAGTATAGAGAGTTTGATTTTTTATTTTGTATTAATTTTATTATTAAAAACTTTTTTATATCAAAACATTGAGTAATCTGATTCATTGCTGGAGAATTCCATACCTTCCACTTCTTCTCCTTTATTTTCTTGTTTTTCATTTTTATTTTTTGATTCATCACTGGAGAATTCCATCCATTCATTTCATATATTTTTTATATTCATTTCATTTCAGAACACTTTGTCAGGTTGACAATGAGATAGTTGCGTGGGCGTCGATAAGAGAAATCATCGTTGGATTTTTAGGCAAACATCGTTCTCCCAATTATGAAGGATCTGTGCGACGAATGTTGGATGTTTTTTTCCAAAATTGGAGTCAATATGTCGCTAAAAATTCATTTCCCTCATCGCCATTTGGACTACTTCAGTCGACAGTTATCGACACAATCATCAAACTGCGATGCCATTTGAGTCCAGATAAAGAGGAAAACGAGCTCCAGATGCCATACTAGCCGAAAAATTTTGGGGAAGTAAACATATTTTTGACTACGATCAGAAAGAAAATGAAAATGAAGAACAAGAAAATAAAGAAGAAGTGGAAGGGATGAAATTCTCCAGTGATGAATCAAAAAATGAAAATGAAGAGCAAGGAAATAAAGGAGAAGAAGTGGAAGGGATGGAATTCTTCAGCAATGAATCAGATTACTCAATGTTTTGATATAAAAAAGTTTTTTAATAATAAAAAATAAAAAATCAAACTCTCTGTACTTTTCTACAATTCTATTTTATCTATTCAATTTTATCCTACAGATTTTTTGGCAAAATATTTGGTGTTGAGTGTGAAAAGATGCATATTTTGGAAAATCTTGTTCAGTTTTGTGTGCGTATTTTATAAATTACTTCTTTTAGTATACTTTAAAACATTTTTGCCAGAAGAAGTAGCAAGAAATTTTAAATATTATCAAAAAATTAAAAAAAAATAATTTTTCGAATATTTGGTCCCAAAAATTGGGTTTTTGGGATAAAGGTTGTTCACAAAATGGGTTTATTTGTACAGTAACTACATTTCTACAAAAAGTCTTGACGATATAAATCGAATATATGCGAAAAAAATCGATTTATAGGTCTAAATTGGGGTATATGAAGCTCGAAAATACAAACGGCCATAAAAAAAATTCGAGCTAACTTTTACAAACCCAGCGAGGGTTTTGCTATTGGATAGGTATATTTTCAGAAAAAAATGGTCCGGTGCGGTTTGATTTCGATGACCCGAAAATTGTCGCTCAGTGTATTCTTATGGGAAATCAAATGCTCTACAAAAAAAGTCTCATAACATTTTTGGCTAAATTCACTCCATCAAAAGTTATTCAAGGTTAAATTTGAAGTCCAAACGAAATTCTTCTTTTTTACGCTCTAGATATCGATATATAATCTTTATGTTATTGATAAAATTACTGAAAATAACAAAAAAATAACACATTCTATTTTTTTCGCTTTAAGAAGCTATTTTCTTTAGAAAATATTATTTTCACTGTTACCTATTTAATCGTTTAAATAATAACAATCATTTTGTTTTTTATTGGAAATTGTTAATTAGTTATATAATACACATTTAAAAAGAAAAAAATCAAATTATCATCCTTAAAAAAATAAATCTACAGAGGAAAAAAACAAGAATTTCGTTTTGACTTATTTGACTTCTTGAATAACTTTTGATTGAGTGAATTTAGCCAAAAATGTTAATGACTTTTTTTGTAGAGCATTTGATTTCCCATAAGAATATTCATCGGGTTTTTTTCGGTACTGATTTTTACTTGAATTGCAATATTCCAAAGTTAAAAGATCAAAATGTAAAACTATACCAATTTTTAAGGCATGGTTCATCTGACGGAAAATTTAATTTTAACCTTTTTTGTAGAGCATTCAATTTCCTTAAAAAAATATCTCTGAGTCAATTTTGTTAAACTCAATGGTTTGGGAGGAAAAAAAATTTAAAATTGCTATGATAGAACTCTTAATATTAATATTATGGACTCAAAATTTCACAATAGTTTTTTTTGTCACCCCAAACCATATTTTCGAAATACTTTTCAAAAAAAATAGTCGATTTCTTTGGTATACAATGTATACCCATTCAAAAGAAGGCATTACGTTTTCGGTAAACTGTAAAAAATAAACATTACTTTTTTTAAATTGATATCATCGGCAGGTGCTCCGGATCCCATATCGCAGTTAATAAAATCAGCTGATTGAGACTCGTTATACAAATTTAAAACACAACTATGGTATTTGTTTCCCTTGCATTCAGCTGAACCATGTTGGCATTCAAATAGATATCCTCCAGTTGTATTGAAAATCTCAAAAAAAAAATATATTTTTATAAAATTGTATCAAATTTTAAATCTTAGGCAACATAAAAAGAAAATAATACCTAAAGAGGTATAAAATTCGAAAACCTATTTTAAACCTATATGTATACCTTCGCATTTCCAAAAGGGACAAAATCCAGTTTTAAATAATCCCCCAATAACTTATAATTTGGGTAAAGCTCATGCACAGTAAAGTTAATACTATAAGGACACAATGACTCATAGTAAAAGGTTACTTTTAGTTCTTCAGCCTAAAAAATATTACAAAAAAAATTTACAATAAAAAAAAATAAAATTTGAATACTTACATTTGCAACTGAAAATATTAATCCACAAAACAATATAGCACTAAGCACATTCATTGTAGGTAATAGTTTTTTATTGATGGGTTATAAATTGACTAAGTTAAAAACCTTAAAGTACTCTTATTTATATAAATATTTAGATAAGTATGTGGGTATTAGTTAAATTTAATATTTGGTGACCTTCAAGTTATCTGTTTTATATTCTTTTATCCTACTACTTCGAACATAGGTTATTATTTAAGTAAAAATCTTTTAGTTTTATGTATGAAATTAAGATAAAATTTTATTCCATACAAAAACATTAAGGAATTTGGCATATTAAAATAAAATGTGGAATGTTTCGTCATTCACTTTTATCACCACCATTGCAATTGTTTTTAGCTACAAGATTTACCTATTGATCACAGACTTGAAATATATATATTTCATACGAGTATACTCGTATGAAATATATATCCCTGATAGCACACTTTATTCTAAGAATGTTTTTTAAACGTTCCAGTGAGGATATTCTTAGGATCATGCTATATTTCTTCTAAAGAACATGCTTAAAAGACATATAGCATGATCCTAAGAATATTCTTACTGGCCTATAGGCAGGTTCTTAGAAGGTGCAAAGTTTTAGTGGTAAAAATTAGTCTACCATTGAGTAAAGTGTGTTCTTTACTCAATGAGTCTACTAAACATATGTTTAGAATGTTAAGAAAGTAATTGCTATTGAAAGTTCATTTAGGAATATTTCTGTTAAGCATATTTAGTTCAGTTACCTATATAATAGTAAAATATACCATAAACTACGTATAAAGGTATATATGTACCTATACTTAAGTACGTAATTAGTATTAAATACTAAGTAAAAAACACAATCCAAAATATTTTTTTATGGTTATTTGTCAAATTAAAACAATATTCGATAACAAAAATACTTTTACTAAAGGTATTTTATTTTATGTTAAAAATAAATATTTATTAATTTTTATACCGATTTTTTATTTCTGAATTAACATTTTTATGTATAATAATCTTAACTATCTTCAACTTCAATCTAATCTGACTTATCCCACAAAATTTTCCAATTTTACTTTTTATGAAATAATGTCATACAACTTATGGTTTAGAGGTCAAATTGTTTATTTAATATTTTTAAATAAATATTAATATGTCGCAAATTTTTTTAAGGGTACGACAAATACATTTCACTGTCATATATGACAGTGAGGCGTATTTGTCGTCTCCTGAAGAATTTTGCAAATGTAGAATACAACATATTAGAACGTAGGTATCTGACATATTTGGAAATATTCTCGAAAGCATCCTAGAAGCTCCATAAGAAACCTTCTAAGAAAATTCCAAAAACGTTCTTAGGATGCTTTTTTAGGAAGGTTTTAAGAAGCTTTTAAGAATATAATAGCATCATTAAAAGGGTATCTATTGAATGTTTTAAAAGTCTCTAAAAACATTCTTGGCAATAAGGGAAGGCTTTAAGAATATTCCATTATTCCGGGTCATATCTTCTTAGAAGATTCTTAAAATCAAATTTTGCTATCAGGGTATGGATCTAATAAATCCACAAATTATACTTTTTATAGGTTTTTAAGTTTATTAATTTAAGCAAATACCGTTAAAAAAATGGATTTCACAATATTTATGAAAATATATCTTAGTGTATAATGATACTTTGATGGCATCAATAAAAATTATATGAAATAGATCATGACCATGAAGAAAAATTTGTACAGCTAAAATTCGTAAAATTCTTCTCGTTTCCACATTTATATTGTATATTATGCACATTTTGGAGATGAATAAATATTATTTTATTATTTTCCACTCAATATTCTCTCATGTCCTGTATAATATATCATATATGAGGACCCTAGAAGCCAAACATTTTCTTTAGTTTTGAGACAATCATGTTTAAAGTAAAAAAAACACTTGTAATTTGGAGTCAAAATTGTTTGTTGTTTTATGAATTTTTCCAAGATGTCTAAGCTTAGAATTCAGTTATATGTACCATTTACTATCTTTTTCTGTACATAACTGCATTTTTTTTTAAATTTCACTTTTATCCCTTGGCTTCTAACCATTGATTATAACATAACGTTATAGACAGAAAAGTTTACCAAACTAAAAGGTCTGGTACCGTTGGAACGGTAACCAGACCTCGGTGTCTGCATTGGCGTAACTACAGAAGGGCCTAGGGGGCCACATTGTAGTACGAACTACTTACTCCCTTTCTCAATGGAACTGTTTGATAAAAAAATTGGTTTTTGTGCCTTTTGGAGACAACATTTGTTTTCCTTTTTTAAAGATTCCTAGTCACTATAGGACCACCCTAGGCCCCCTGGGTCAGATGGCTAGTTACGCCAATGGGTGTCTGGCAAGGTAAGAGTCGACTAGAGGCTAAAAATTGCTGCCGCAGCGAACGTGTTAAGATACATATTCAGGCCAATTCACTAACATGAGTCGTTAATGTTAGCCACTAGAATTAGTGATTATCGTTATATTTCATCGGCCTGATTGCAGGGTTGTGATTTTGTCCACTTTTTTTGATTTCGTCCATGACATGGTCAAAATTGGACAAAAACGGACAAAATCGGACAATATTGGAAAAAATCAAATTTTATTCTATTTTATTAAATTTGTTGGTTTACTAAGCCATGTTTAGGCAACTAAATATGTGATAGTCAGCTCAAAGGCATGTCGGATGAAAATGCAAAAACCAGTAGAATATTAGCAGTATCGTCAGAAGAATCAGCCGAGTCTGGATCGGAACTGGACTGCCTTAAAAATGGAAACAAAACTCATACTAAAAATGATCATGAAGTTCAAGATGAAGTTCAAAAAACACCATCATCAAAACTGCTAAAGCGTAAAGCGGTTCAGGAACTACATTCTGAAATGGCTCCAACGGCATGGACAAAGCAACCTAAGATAGATCCGTTTTTTTGCAAAACTACAAGTGCAGACAGGGATAAAATTGATTATGCCATTGCAGAATTTTTTTATTCCTGTAATATACCGTTTAGCCATTCCAAAAGATTTTATTTAAAAAAAAATGATTTCACTATTAAGACCAGGATACACTCCCCCAATAGGAAAAAAATAGGAGGTGAATTATTGGATAAAGTTACAACGGCCATGTACGAAGAAGCACAAAAACGATTAAATGGCAAAATTGTAACATTAATCCAAGATGGGTGGTCGGCAATTCACAACGATCCTGTTATAGCATCTTGCGTTTCAGATGGCGAAAAGTCTTATTTTTTGCCATCTGTTGAGACAGAAACCAATAATAAAACGAGTGAGTATTGCTTAGAATTAGCAATTGATGGTATTGAGGAAGCTGAGCAGAAGTTCGGCTGCAAAGTAAAAAGTTTTGTCAGTGACAATGAGGCGAAGATGAAAAAAATGAGGGAAGGTTTACAGAAAAAAATTAATGACAAGGAAGACAATCATAATGAGTTTCACTTTATAGCATATGGTTGTGCAGCTCATTACTTAAATTTGCTCGGCCAAGACATTTGCAAAACTAGAAACATTAACAACATTCTGAAACAAATAACAGAGGTCAGTAAATTTTTTCGTAATCACCATATTGCTAAAGGTTATCTAGCAAAACAAGAGGGTTCAAGAATTCCAGCGCTTCCTGGAGAAACAAGATGGAACAGCCAGCTTGATTGTCTTGAAATATTTTTATTGAACCGCGAATTTTACTTAAAAATTATAGAAAATCATGAAGATGCTGTACAACCTAATATTACTAACATTATAGAAAATGTCGGTTTGATGAAGGAAGCATTTATTCAAACAACTAAAACCTATAAGTTGTGCTTTAGACAGGGTTCAATCAGAAATTTCTAACCTATCTGATGCGTAATTTGAATTTTTAAGTTTAAAAAAGCTGTGTTTAGAAAATCAATTATTATATCCATACGAAAGTCTTATAAATAAAAGATTCAAAGATTGCATCACTTCAGCACATATAATTGATTTTATGCTAATTCCCAAATATATTGAGGAGTTAGATAATTTAGATGCTGATTTGCAAGAAACTGCGAGAAAGTGGATACGTGAAGATGTAGATGAAGATTTTTTACCTTTATTACTTCAGTTTAATCTAAAATCCCAGCCGTTTCCCGAGACTTTTTTTGTTAAAAGTGTTATATAAACCCTTACCCCCATAGAGTGGTGGAAAGCGGTTTCAAAAAATGTGACCAATAAAAAGTTCTGCGAATTTGCCCTGCACTTATTTAGATGCATATATGCATATATGCTATAGCTTCATCCGCAAGTATTGAGCGAATATTTTCCAACTTCAGTTACATACAAAGTAAGTTGAGGAACAGGCTTGGATTAGAAAAAGCATTAAAATTGGTCATGGCATATAAAATGTTGAACATGAGGATAAAGGACAAGGAACCTCCGCCTGAACCTGAAACTTACTGAAAATGATTATTTTTATTAATATTGCAATTTACTTCTACAATAATGAATAACTTATTATTTTTTTATTTAACATTTTACTACAATCATGAATGATTTAATATTTTTTTTATTTAACATTTTACTGCTGCCATAGTGACAGTGCCACAACGTTTTATTTTCTATCAATTTCTATAATTATGGTATAATAGGTACCTACTACTCATTATATGTAGGTATTATATGTATTTTACTACAGAATATATTTTTTATTTATTTTTTGTTTATGACATAATATAATATATTATAATATTATTTGTTTCATTTATTTTGTTGTAATACAAGAATCAAGGTATTAAAAAAATAGACAGGTTTCAAGTCGCTTATCGCTTATTATTTATTCCTAATTCCTATTATTATTAACCGTTTGAAAACAAGTGCACAGACAGAGCAGAGAAAATCTGCCTTTTGCTTGTGCTGTAGTCTTGGGTCTCTCTGTTTTTTAAACTTCATGTATCTTGTATGTTATGTAGTTGTTAAATATAAATAAGATAACAATGGCTAGTCAAGCACCAAAATGTTCAAGTTGTTTATGTTTTATTTTTGTTTAAGTTGTTGACACCCTAATACAGTGGCGGCTGGTGGATTTTAAGTATACCAATATCTCAGTTATTAGACATGGGACCCACACCAAATTTATAATAGTTTATATTGACATTAAATAAACAAGTTCGGCGCAAACAGAATTTAAATTGAAGTTTGCGAAAAAAAGTTAGTTTTTCCTGTCGCCTACCCTGCCTCCAGGCCCCCCTATTTGAGATAATTCAAATTAAAGTGGTGCAATTTATTATCTACTATAATTTATCGACAAATTTAAAATTTTATTTAAAAAATCCAAATATTACAGTTTTTATACCATTTTAAATATTTTTTTATTTTAATAAAATAAATAATAAAAATTTAAAATCGAATAAAATCTGTAATATTTGGATTTTTTGAATAAAATTTTAAATTTGTCGATAAATTATAGTAGATAATAAATTGCACCACTTTAATTTGAATTATCTCAAATAGGGGGGCCTGGAGGCAGGGTAGGCGACAGGAAAAACTAACTTTTTTTCGCAAACTTCAATTTAAATTCTGTTTGCGCCGAACTTGTTTATTTAATGTCAATATAAACTATTATAAATTTGGTGTGGGTCCCATGTCTAATAACTGAGATATTGGTATACTTAAAATCCACCAGCCGCCACTGCCCTAATATAATAATTATATTAGGGTGTCAACAACTTAAACAACAATAAAACATAAATTATAATTATTATAATAAGGTTAATTGATTTTGTCCGATTTTGTCCAATTTTGTCCAAAACAATTGATTATGTCCGGACGGACATAATTGGACAAAATCGTCCAATTATGTCCACTTGGACAAATTCCTCCAACCCTGCCTGATTGACCTATAACCACTGATTCTAGTGGCTAACGTTAACAACTCATGTTAGTGAATTGGCCTGATTATATGTTATATGAACAGATAGGGACCGTCCAAAAAGTACGTTATACCTAGGGGAATTCAGACCCCCATGTCACGAATTATTAATTCAAATAATGTCACAAAGCGTTAACCCCTCCATAAACGTGTGACGTACTTACTTTATGAATGAACCCATATGTTTAATTGATTACCGAAAAAGGATTAATTAATAATTAATTATAATGGATAATATAATTATAATAAACTGAAAGAATGTCAAAGTTTGTAATATTATTGACTAGAAAATGGTTCATAAAAGTAGATAATATATTATAAGGAATGCAAAAATAAGAAAATTAAAATGGGTTGGACGGTACCAGTTGTTGAACTGTGATATGTTCTCTTTCAGACTGGAAAAATGTCACTTTACCGTCTAGGTGTAGATTATACTATTTTGAAAATAGTATTTTCTGAAAGTTTTTATATCCAACGTTGCGACCAGGGCCAGCCTGTATCATGAGGGGGCTATCATACACCATAGAAAAATTTTCTCTTTTAATCTTATCATTAGGATAGATTTTTAAATTACAAAATTACTATTACTTATTCAAAAAAATGTTAAACTATTGCCGTTTTTAACTAAATTCTTAGTTTTTTTATTATGATACATTTTTAAATTTAAAATTTCGGATTCACCTATCAAGTTCATTTATTACTATGGTCTTGAAGTTATATAAAATCTGCTATCAGCAACAACAAAAATTTCTGTTGTTAAAGAAAATTGTTGGCAAGTCATAAACAATGTTATAGTCAGGGCCGGATTTACATTTTTAGGGTCCCTGAGTAAAAGTCAGGAAAGGGACCCTTAATTTAGAAATAATTTAATCAAACTAACCTAGCCTATTGAATATTATTGCCAATGATTAAGTATTGATAATGTATGCCTTTAAACCGTAATTGATACATAATATATAATTTTTTTTTTTTTAATATCCCTATGCAGAATGCAAATTAAATTATGATTTGACAAAAAATATTTTATCGGACAATCTTAAAGATTATTAAAAATTTTTAAAAAACATTCCAGTTAAATTTATAAGTAGGTACTTAATAATTTAAAGATAAGTATTTAATCTTATTAAATTAATATTAACAATTACGAAGCATAATTAACAGAATTTAATTTATATTAATAATTAATAATAATTATTATGCTTAGTAATTGTATGATAAAATTTTATAAAACATATAAAGATTTGGGATAGCGCCGGAGTTAAAACAAATAATTAGGGTTAGAATATTCAGAATAAAAAAAAATATTTTAAAATTCTTGTAAATTTTATTTCAATAACCAAACACTTGAATATCCTAAGACTTTATTGTCTTTTTCTGCTAGTCAATTTTATCATATGGCCGGAAGTACAGGTTACAGATATCCTATACTGGAACTTTAGTTCGGAAAATTTTAAGTCTGAAGTGATTAAGTAATTTTGTAGAATTCTTGCCAATAATAACTTCATATTCACAAACGCATAAGTGGTGGCTAAAAATATTTAATATGTAATTAAATACATTTTTAGGGGGTTTAACAAATATTTTTTAAAGAAAATATTTACAAATTTCTTCTTTGTTGGGTTAAAAAAATATTTGCAAAAAATTGACAAAAATAAAGCGTTATGAATATTTTGAAAGCCGAAAAACTTTTTAATATTCTTACATTACTTCTGACTTTCAACTTGAAAACCGAAAAAATAACAAAGGCTTATTTAACGAAAAAACTGCACTATTTCTTACATGTAACAAATATTTTTTAAATTTATTCTAGTATACTTTGGATACACAAACAGTATAATTTATAATATATAATATATATAATATATAATATAACTGGTAAATTTTTTGTTTTTGATAGATTTCTTTACCAACATTTTTTGACCCGACAACTAAATTATGCAATAAAATTCAATAAAATAATACCAATGCATCTTCTAGGCCCCAAACTAAATGGAAAATACGCATTGGGGTGTCTCTTGGACGTTGCTTCTGGCAAAAAATGCTCGGGATAAAACTCCTTCGGTTTTTCCCAATGTTCCTCGCTTAAATGAGGTTTAATTATTGACAGAACTAACGTACAATCTGCAGGAATAACCCATTCATCTAAAAATATATATTTTTCAATATTTTAAAAGAGATTTTTGAAAATTGAGAAAACCTAAGTTAAACTCCGTTTGGACGTATCTTGTGATATAAACTGCTCCTGGAAATAATCTTAAAGTTTCTTTTATGCACATTTCAAGGTATATAAATTTGTGAACATCCGAAATGGTTATATCGCTGCTATCGCCCACGACGCTTTGGATTTCATTTAGAGCTTTTTCCTAAAAATCCCAAATAAACAATTTACAATACACAAATTGATTTATTTTATAATTTATACACAAGACAAGTCACAGGTGTCCTCAAGGGTGAATAGGTCTTTCAAGAATGTACTCAAAAACTGTTTATGGGGTATTTTTCGGGAACGTTTGGTCTCCTCAAAATCACTTTCATTAAAATCCCACCTGATCGGAAAGATTTTTTTTATTTTTTTATATTTTTTTATTTTTTGTGGTCATTTTTAAGAAATCTCCCGGCTGTTCTGACCCTTTGAGAATTTAATTTCATCTACAAGATGGTTTAAAGCAATATGAATTTTTAAAGTTGTTGAGATATTAGTTGATTTAAAACATTTTCTAAAATTTTCGATATCCTGATCAAGATCGTTTTATTTTAACTCTGATGAGAAACAATCATTAACAACTATGTTCATGGCCTTAAAACATGAAATAAATGGCAAAACTTCCAAGTAGGAAACGCCATCAAAAATATCGCTGCCTACAAGCAAATCTGAATTTTGTATTGGAAAATTACTGAATCGATTTTGGAAATCTTTCGAAGAGATGTATTTTTTCCGAAATTTCAAGTTATTTCCATTCATGGGGCAGTTGAGTTTGATAGTCGTAATACCCCTCGTTATTATAAGTTAGGTAATCCCTCGGAACGTTTTCGAGATTTTGTTAATATCGTGGCTTACTACGATTATATGCCAATTTTTCAAAAATTGTCGTTATTCCCCAGTTTAGTCCAAAAAATGAGCAATAGTGAATTCTTTGACTTACGTGTAATTTTGAGAATACGACATTGTGTACATAGCATTATACTACAGGGTTTAAAAAAAATGAGATGTATTTTTCCAAAATTTCAAATCCCCATTCACAGGGCAGTTGAGCTTGATAGTCGTAATACCCCTTCCAAATAACAGTTAGGTTATCCCTTGACACGTTTTCGAGATTTTGTGGATATCTTTGCTAACTATAGTATACGATTATATGGCAATTTTTCGAAAATTCACGTTATTCATTTTAGTCCAAAAAATGAGCAATAGTTGATTCTTTGAATTCTATGTCTAATTTTGGGAATACAATGTTGTGCACATAGCATGATACTACAGGGTGTTAGAAAAAGAGATGTTTTTTCCAAAATTCCAAATCCCCATTCACAGGGCAGTCCTAATACCCCTTCCTAATAACAGGTAATCCCTCGGGACATTTTCGAGATTTTGTGGATATTTTGGATAACTACGATTATATGGCAATTTTTCGAAAATTCACGTTATTCTTTACTTAAGCAGTTAACAGCTGGATTGCAAAGCGTAAACACGTCTGTAACGCGCGCAACATAAAAAGTTAACTAGTGCTAAAATAAGTGAAATTTCATTACCGGAAGATTCAGAGATGGATTGGGAAGCCCAGGGAAGACAAAAAAAAGAAAACGTAAATCAAAAACCAAAGACATCCTAGCAGAACTCGGAATATCCTATAGTGAGTCTGAGAGAGAGAAAATTCTCGATATCATCGGTGTAAAACGAATAGATAATAAAAACGAGCCGTCAACTTAAAAAAAAACGCAACAAAAAACTACAAATCAACACGAAGCAAAAAACAACAACAAACCTAATAAAATTCAATATTCCGAAAGGATTAAAGAATTAATAAACAAAACATTTAAAAACCTATTTTATATAAATACTGAAATTGAATTAACAAGAATAGAAATGGCCGAAAGATGGTCAAACATTACAACCAACAAAGAAGATGTCATACTCAAAACAAAAAAAGGTTTTTTACTAAAATCAAACACAGACAAAAAAGAATTGGAAGAGAAATTAAACTCACTTATAACTAACAAAAATATAAAAAGTTTTAAAGAAACTACATCCACAATAATTAACAGCAACTCAAAACTTCCTGAACCCGCCGCAGTAATTTCATCAGTCGAAACATATATTAATGATGAATTAATAAGTGAGCATTTAAAACAAAATAACATCAATCACAGATTCTGCAAAAGGATTATTGCAAGAGCGACAAACAAAACAACAATGATGATCAGAATTATAACTGGGTGTGATACGTCATTTGAAAAACTCATCAGCCAAGGTGTATTCTACAAAAACAGACACTACCCCGTGTTTCCCAGCCAACCTCCACCTCCCCTTCCAATACCCTGCTCTAAATGTGCAAAGTACGACCACGTCACGGAAAAATGTCCCAATCAAACAAAATGCGACAAGTGTATGGAAAATCACCCCTCCGAAAAATGCGAAAAGAATCTGCCTCACAAATGTCTGGGATGCGGATCTGATGAACACAGAGCATGGTCAGTAAAATGCCCCAACCGCCCGAAAGGCGCAATAGAAGGTATTCCAAACACAAAAATTAAAACTCTCAATAAAACTTCAAGTGAAATAGACAAAAATATCACAAAAAAAAACAGAATTCACAGTCCCTTAACAATACACGATCATATAATTCATACTTATATATACAAAATAAATAAGCCTAACCTTAAGGATCGGGAAGAATTACTTAAAAAACTAAAACAAAGATTCATTCAACTCTACCGAATTGAAACCACAGCTGCTTTCTGTGGAAATAGAATGTATATTCTAATGCACGACCTCGACACCCCCAACAGCGAATCACCTACAGAAACTCTTCAAACAGCAGAAAATGTCCAAGTTCACGTCAGAAATTAAGTTACTCTACAACAATATTAACAGTTACAACAAAAGAAAACACCTTCTTACCACTATATTGAAAAAAATAACATAAATTGCGTGCTATTGGTAGAAACTAAACTAAAACAAAATGCAAACATTACATATAGAAATTGGCACAAAATTCAACAACATGGCAACCTTATCACGAACAAGGAAAGAGGAGGTAGTTTGATCTTGTCACACCCAGGCTTAAAAATGGGAAAAGCAAACCCCCCTAAAATAAACAACTTTTTAAATGAGGCAACGCACTGCACTTTTCCATTTAAGGACGAGCCACTACACATTTTTCTTATTTACATTCACCCGACTTCAAAAATAGAAGAGACAATATTTACAAAAGCTTCACTATATAAATATTCAATAATTATAGGAGACTTCAACCTCAACAACTCAAAAAGAAAACAGCTAAGAAATTTTCTAAACAATTCGAACTTTACAAAATCAGAGACCCCTCCCACATTCCTACAAAACATAAATCAAGATACGACTCCAGACCTAATATTGCACACAAAAAATTTAACAAATGTTCTATCCAAAGCCCAGCTCACGCCTGATATTGGTTCAGACCACCTAGCTTGCGTACTAAAAATTGACCTAAATTCACAAACAACAGAAAACTTAGAAACCAAGATTATATTCGAAAAATGCAACATTGAAGAAGTGAATAGAAATATAATTGAATTCATTGAAACAAATAATGATACTGTAACAAAACCATACATAACCAATTTTAATAACAAATTAGCAGAAGTAATTTTAAAAAACACTCCAACCAAAGCAGTCAAGTTTTATCTTCAAGAACTACCGCCATTTATAATAAGAAATATTAAACTTAAGAGACAAATGTACAGAGAATATCTGAAAAATCCAGACCTAAATTTCAAGAAAGATATAAACAAACTAAATAAAGATATACAAAAAATGGTCCATGAATACAGACTTAACAACTGGCTCAAAACTTGCAAAGAAATAAACAATAAAAGTGGAAAAAGTTTTTTTCAAGAAATAAAAAAACTGACAAAATATAAAAAAAGATCAGGAATACAAAACATTGAAGAAGGGAATTCCTTTTATGACACTGATGAAAAAAAAGCTAACGCATTCGCTGATTACTTCAAACAAATTTATGCTGCAAATAATAATGCAAATCATAATCAAACCCATATTATGGTTGAAGAGTGGCATAGAGAATTCCTAGAGGAAAATATGGAGGATGAAGAAACAGACATTGAAGAAGAATTGTACTACAATGTGCTTCACAAAAACAAAAGCACTGCTCCAGGTAAGGACAAAATTACACACAAAATAGTAAAAAATTTAGATCACAAAATACACGAACACATAATAAAAATTTACCAATTTTGTCTCAAGAACGCATATTTTCCAAAAGAATGGAAAGACGGAGTTATAATTACAATTCCAAAACCTAATTCTGATCACAGCAAATTGAAGAACTATAGACCAATAACCCTTTTACCAGTTCTGGGAAAAAATTTCGAAAAAATCATCAAAAACAAAATTGAACATGCTATAGGCGAAAACATTCCCAGTTTTCAGTTTGGATTCAAAGCAAACACATCCACAACACACCCTATAACAATTATCCTATCCAACACACAGACAGCAAGACTTAAAGGTAAAAAAACAGCAGGCTTATTCTTAGATATAGAAAAAGCGTTTGACAGTGTATGGCATAAAGGTCTTCTATTTAAACTTAATAATCTGAATTGTCCAAAAAATTTGTTAAGAATCATCAACAGCTTTTTGCAAGAAAGATCACTGTTAGTACAAATTGGACAAAAAACCTCAAATGCATTTCCAGCAGAACAGGGAGTTCCACAAGGTTCCCCCCTTTCCCCTCTACTATACAATTTGTACTGCTCTGACATCGTCAACCTACCTACTATGGATATCAATAGTTACATTCTACAATTTGCAGATGATACTGCTATAATAACACACGAAAAAACAACAAAAAAAGCCACGCAAATACTTCAAAAGGCACTAGTAAAAGTGGAAGAATGGTTTAACATATGGAAACTTAAGATAAATCCTCTAAAATCTCAATTTATAATATTCAACCACACTCCCAAGCCCAACTCCCCTAGTCTGAATCTAAACAACACTCCAATCCTCCCAAAAACATCAGTAAAATATCTTGGCATCCATCTAGACAACAAAATAAACCTGAAACAACACTCACAGATGACCAAGAAGAAAATTCAAGCAAGAGCAAAACACTTCAGAGCACTGACCTACAAGGGAGATGGGATAAACATGGACGTAGCCTGCAAAATATACAAAACCATTTGCAGGCCCATTTTAGAATATGCTTGGCCAATTTACGCAAATTCTCAAAAGTCCACAATAAAGAACATTCAAGTGGGAGAGACATCAGCACTTAGGATACTTACCAGAATACGGCACCCCAACAACCCCCTACACAATCCATCAAACATACTGTTGTACAGGAGAACAGGGATTGAACCAATCAAAGATAGACTTTAAAGGCTAACCACAAATTTCTGCCTAAAACAACACAACATAGAAACACTGGAAGAACACTGCTTTACAAGACACCCAGAAGAACAGAAATTCAAACATCCCGAAAAGACATTACTAGAAATTTTCAAATCCATTTTAGACTAACTTTTTTTTTTCTTTTTTTTTCATTCTATACTAAAATTAAAAAACATTACCATTGTCATTATTATTATATATTATCAATTTAAAATTAAGCGCATTTGGCTGAAGGACCTCGGTCATTGGCCATTTAATCTTTGTTGTAACCTTACATAGTATGTATTTACATAAGGATTAATAAATACGTTATTTATTTTTTTCTTTACTTAAGTCCTAAAAATGAGCAAACTACGGAAGGTATCAACACAGCGTTTTAAGGTAGGTCAAGTGTCATTGCAATTTTTTTCGGAGAAATTCAAAATAAAAATAAAAAATCTCGAAAACGTTCTGAGGGATTACCTTACTTATATTAGGGAGGGGTATTGCGACTATCAAACTCAACTGCCTCATGAATAGGAATAATTTGAAATTTAAAACCCTGTAGTATAATTCTATGTGCAAAATATCGTATTGCCAAAATTACACATAAGAGTCAAAGAATTATCTATTTAGAATTTCCAAATATTTTCAAAATCGATTCAGTAATTTTCCAAAAAACTAGGTGCGTCGATTTTTATGACGAGCAGTTTATTTTATAAAATATAATAGCCATATTCTGAAGAAATGATTTATTTCTTCCCACAAAAATATATTTTAAACTTTAAAATTGATTTTAGAAAATGACTTGTCAAAATTAAATTTTTGGACTTTGGTACTGTTTTTAATCTCACCGATTCAATTAATTTAATATATAGTTTAAACGTGACTGCCGTTCGACTTGTGAAGTTGATTAGTACCAAATTGAATTTGTTTGTTTTTACTTCGTTTATTCCCATTTTTAACGTGTAAAAAGTTGATTAATTCCAATTTGTTATTGTTACATTCCAAATTGAAATTGATTATTTTCAATTTGAAGTTGAAAAGGTATAGAATGTATATATACCAATTTATTATTACGCAATGTTGCCAATAAAAAAAATATGTATCCCCTGTATACAGATATATCTTTTTAAATACCGAAGGTATTTTTGTAACAATTTTAATTTTAAATAACGAAGGTATTTTTGTAACAATTTTCCTGGGGGTCCGTAGATCATACACCTGCAAGGTGGTGCGCGACTTCTGGGACACCCTGTATTTGTGCATATACTTCATTCGTATATTAAAACACACAAATTTTAAAATTGTTCAAAAGGTGTAATACACCTGTGTATTCAAACTTAAATTTTAAACTTACTTGTATTTTAGGGTGAGTTCCCAACATCATAACCGCCATTGTTGTAGCTATAACTGTAGTATCTTGATTCTAAAACACACATAAAATCTTTATTTATCCTAAAATTAAATTCTTATTTTCCTACAGCCGCAATGAGGGTGTAAATTTGATGTTCAATATCTTTTTCAGTCAGTTGCTTTGGATATGCCATATGATTCCTTATCATTCTTTCATACATCGTCTCATCTTCCTCTTCAACGCCAGTCAATTTTTCTCTTTTCAATTTTTCCAAAATCGGCGGTAATTTTTCTTTTCTTAAAACGCTGTACCACCTGTTGCTTATTTCCTTTAACTTTATTACTTCGCTGTAGTTTTTGGTCAGTTTGTAGATGAAGTCTGGATAGTGCAAAAAATTCTGAAGTCTTAGAGCAAAATAATGAACAATTCTGAAAATTGGTGATAATTATGTTTCATTATTGTTGGGTTTTTCTTACTGTTTTATTAATTCGTAAGTAAAGGGTGCTTCCAGTTGAACGTTCTCAAAGTTGTTATCAATTCCTACTATAATATCTAAAATAGATGACCTTTAATATATAGACTTGAATGTATTCCCTTAACACACAGTTTTTAATATAAAACAAAAATAACTATAATGAAATAAAAATAGTTTTAATAAAATGTATTACCTACCTAAAGTTTGGTTGCAAAGATGTTCGCTCAAATAGTCCATTACTTCAAAGGAAGGGCCGTCAACTTTGCTCCCCATTTTTTCTATGAATACATTTGTATGTTTTGTTAGTTTTGAATAATAACCTTCAACAGCTTTTAGCGTAAACATCGGATCAGCTTGTTTGCGTTGAATTGTATGCTTTAAGCCTAAGAAAAAATATTTAAGGAGATATTTAAATGCTGTTTTTATAATAACCATAAATACAGGGTGAGTCATTTAACTTAACTTTGAAATATTTCAGTTCTCAGTTTAAAATAAAAATTAAATAATTCGATGGGGGAAATCAATCAGTACTAAAATTGGTCCTCATACTCTAATCCTTATAGGGGGAACAGGGGGTAACTTTAAAATTTCCAATGAAACACCCTATTTTTTTTGCAGATTCGGATCATTCGACTAAAAATAGGTAGATTTTGTCTAAAACATTTTTTCATATTTGTAATAGATAACGCTGTAAGGAAAAAAAATCAATTTTGTTCGATTCTTCTTCTGTATACGATTCTGCAATAATTTTTCTATAAAAATATTTTTTTTTTTGTAATAATTATCTTATTAAATTAAATCTGTTTTTGAAGTACCCACGATTTTTTAACTAATATTTAAGTTTCCTTTGGTTTAAGTTTTATACATTATTTAATAATAATAATAATAATAATAAAAATCTTTATTGTATAAAGTGACATACATAAATACAAAAGGTGGAAGTTCAGTTCTCACTGTTCTTACACTTTAACCCAGCTTCTTACACTTCAACCCTATTTCATTCGGTGATAATTATTAATTGTGCACCATGGTCACTTTTTACCTGCCAGCATTAAATCCTTTAATTTAAAGGATTATTGTACTATTTTTTATAAAAATACCTCATTTAAGGTAAACAAAAAACATTATTTTGTCAATTAATTAATTTAATCCTAATTGAGGTATAAAAAAATGGTATTAAGTTATAAATAATAATTATTATTGAGGTAAAAAGAAACTATTTATAGTTTAGCATTATTTAATAAATTTAGTTCAAAGATTAATTTGCAAACAAAAAGACCTCCTTTCGTTAATCAGTTAACAGTGGTAGAAAACAGAAATGATTTTGATTTATGGAGAAGTAGACAGGAATCTTGATGATACTGCACATTTCATCGTACCTACAGTCAAGCAGTTTACTACAAACGGGAGTGTTCAACCGAAAAAAAGAGTTCGTCGAGCAACAGTCACAGGTGGAAATAATGAAATTAATGTATTAGCAGCAACGGCCGCTAATCCTTATGCAAGCACACGATAATTATCTAGAGATTTGGGAATATCCCAGAGCAATGTTAAAACGAAATGAAAATTAATAAATGCATTGAAGTCGAAGGCCACCAGTTTGAGCGCCTACTTTAATTAAAATATAAATAATAAATAAATAAATTTAAAAAATAAAACCAAGATTTTATTCGAAAATTATTGGAGAATCGTATAAAAAAGAAATATAAATATTACAAATATGAAAAAATGTTTTAGACAAAATCTACCTATTTTAAAAATAGTATTTTTAGTCGAATGATCCGAATCTGCAATAAAAAATAGGGGGTTCCATTGAAAATTTTAAAGTTACCCCTATTCCCCCTATAAGGAGTACTGATTGATTTTCCCCCTTGAATCATTTAATTTTTATTTTAAACATTTTTTCGTAAAATGCATACTAACTGAGATATTTCAAAGTTTCAACATGAAACTTTCACTCACCCTGTATAGGGCTATATTTAGCTTCTTGAAAAAAACCTTTTCATCCTGTTGAAATGTTAATATTTTCTAATACAATTTTGAAACATTGAGTTTAGTTTATTTTTTATTTATTATTATTTATTTACCCCACCTTGACAAAAAATCGGATGTCTTATTTAACAAAATAAAAACTATATCTGAAGTCAAATAAATAGTTTAAATGCGACGTAATTTATAACCTTAAAATATTCGTAGATTGTGATGCTAAGAAGCTAACATTAAGAATAAACACGGAAGAGTTTCAATACTCGATAAAATGTTCAAATGTAAAGGGTGCACATTTTGAGAAAATTTAAAAAAATAAAGTATACACCAAAATAGGTGCTTGTTTAAAGTTACTATTCAAGTTTTACACAAAACATTTTTTCCATATGCTTTTATCCAAAATTTTACAGTATAAACTTTAAAAGCCAACTTGGTCGCATTTGCCGATTTTCTAAGGTCGCGCCCGTTACGCGATTCATGACATCATAAAAGGTTTTCTATACAAGTTTTTATTGCCATTTGTTTGAGTTAAATTGTTTAAAAGGAACAATTTACTAAACAATACAAAAGTTATATATAATATAAGATTAACACGTGGACAGCGCGGTCCTTATTGATTAATTCGGAAGTGGTTCAGTGCTTTTATTTGGTTGGCTATTGCTGTTACTATACTATATTATTTTTCCTTATTTTATCGTTATTGCCAAGTTGTGGTTTTATTGGTTTCAAATACGGCCCTGTTCAATTTTTTAGTTAGTTTTAAATAAACACGTGCGTGCTTAGTGCGTTACTGCATTTAATTTACTCTGTCGGTTAAACGAAGTAGAGCCTTCCCAGAACCAAGAGATCATGTGTTCGGAGTCCGAACTTTGGACATTCCAAAGAAAAATCTAATAATAGTTATTTATGTCATTAGGTTAAGAAGTAAGGCTTTTTGTGCTAAGCTCAAGGTTTGAACCTCACTTTTTTAGAATCTCATTTATTTATTAGCTAAAGTACAATAATTAATTTAGAAGCAGTAATAGTTTGACAATACCTAGCAACATGATTTAAGTAGAAATGGATTTTTGTTATTACATTGAATTCAATTAATTGTTTAATACATAGGTAGGTATCTAATTTCAATTTGTTTGGATTTTTATTTAAAAAATAGGTAGTTTGGAATGTTTAAGCTGTGTTTAACATTTAATTTCACTGAAAATTTAAAAGATAATTTAAATCGTAGAAAAAGAATCGTGTGTTTTCTTGGTTGCCTAACCTCACTTTTTGTTTTATTATTCATATTTAATTTAACAATAATTTAATGAAAAATATTAAACATTAACAGTAAAACAAACAAATTAGTGCTTATTATAAATAAATTAAACCAGTTTAGTACGTTAATTTTTTAGAAAAGGATTAATTTGTCAAAACAATACCCCTAGCGAGAAAAAATCGAACTAATTACTTGCCTCATAAAATTTTTTATCGGCCTAGGCCATAACAAGGTATTTCTTTATCGAATGTTGACAACAATAAAGTTTAAATTATAGACCGCGTGGAGATAAAAGTATTTATTCATTCGGTCGTTGTTTGACAATGAAAAAAGGAGGTGTAAATATATATATTTTTTTTAATCCGGGGAGGCTCAACGCAAAAAAAGTTTGTGAATCCTAGACACTTAAAAAAATATTGATTAATATATTTTATGTACAGACAATAGGTAATGAAATATTTGTAATAACTACAATTAAAGAGGGTTAGCATGAAAATAAGTTAAGTGTAGAATTGGGTAGTTTAGAGTCCAAATTTTCTCATAAAGTGAAAATTGTATACAACTCGTATACGAGTTCTGCATGTTGATTAATGAAAACAACAATATTAAATAAAGTATCTAGCAAAAACTTTTAAAGTTAATAACTCCACTTCTCTTTTTTGCACTTGTACCCTTTTGCTTTTTTTCCCTTTAATTACAATTATTGTTAACTAAATAATACCAGAAGAAGTTATTAGTCCATCTCCATAAATAGTCCTTAAAAAATCATAGGGAAATTTCTTGTTGGATAAGCTGGGAGATGTGAGAATTTTCTAAAAAAAAAGATTTATTTAAAATTTTATATTTAAGTTTATTAAGTATTTTTTACGTGAAGATTGTCTGCATCATTAACAACTACAAATAATTTTGGTCCAGTCCAAATTTTGCAAATTTTTGGAAATTTTCCGTATAGATTTAGAGCTTCTTGGTAAATGTCTAAAAAATAGATTTTTTATTAAATTAATCCCGGCACATTCGCCATTTTTATTAGAAGAAATAATATATTTATTATTATTATTATTATTTTGGAAGAAAAAAATAATTTGCAAAGAAGTATAAATATTAAAAAAAAAACTAATAAAGATTTATTTTTATTTAGGGTGTCCCAAAAATGGCCCATACCACTCGAAGGGGGAGTTATTTTAAGAATAAAAAATTAAAAAAAATTCTCTACAGTGGTTTTCGAGCAATTAACCGTTTAAGTTTAAAAAACGCTGGGAATTTCCTAAGAATATTTATCAAACAACTAAGAACGGTTGCTATGGTTTACAGATGAATTTTCTGACAGTTTGTGTCAAAAAATTTAAACTTATCATAACTTAGTTATTATTCTATATCTTAGACAAAAAAAGTGGAAGCGTAATTAAAAGGTTGAAAAACTGAATCGAGGCCTCTAAATGAAAGACCGCATATTTGTTGATTTGGGAACTGGTTTAACAAATACATTAAAATAAATAGATTTTTTCTACTCCCACCTTTATAACGCCCATTATCGTACATGTTTCCATGACACTAAGTGACATTTTAAATACACATTGACAAGTTGTGGCTTTATGTCGCTTTAGTCACGGGCAAGTTAGTTTTAATAGTTGACAGTTGTCAAATGTCATACAATCGTTAAAATAATACTAAATGTGAAAATTATTTTATTATCTCAATACAATAATACAAAAGTATTAAATAGTTTCTCAACGCCAATATTTGAAAAGTTTATATGAGCATGGTACTGACCTTTTAATTTCGCCGGCAGTAAACTATAACTTAAATTCGGGCACGTACTCCACTGTAAAGTGCTCATAAAACATTTTCTTAACTTTCACTGTGAAAAACTGTTAATTTTCAAGAAATAAATTTAGATTTATAACCTTTATAATCTGTGTTTATAAAATATAAATATTTGACATTTGACGGTGACACACGGATTCCCCTATTGATTCATAGATTGCGCTCTATACAAATGTTTGATTTAAATCATTTTAAGATAAAAATAAGTATTTGTCGCAGAAAAATTATAGTATGCACCTCGTTTATAAACTTTTCTATACACTCATTAATTTAAGCACTCGCTCGCAAGCTCGATCGTGCCTAAATTAAATTCGTGTATAAAATGGCGTTTATCAAACTTGATACATAATATACTATAATACCTAAAATCAATATTACAGATTTGTAAGATTATTGTACCCGTAAAAGCTTATTCCAGATTTATTATAACATATATTATACAACCCAAAGCATTACATACCACCATTGTATTTTAACAAATACATCTTCGGTTTCGTCCACTGTCTATGGTAATTATTAACAAATTTTGACTTTTTATTTTAAAATTGTTTACAGTTTTTTTAACCTATTTTAAATAAAAAATGTAAACACAATTTTTTTTTATTTTATACAGGGTGTTTCAGAATAAGATGCTGAACCTTAAGGGTGTGAATCATTAGTTGATTTTAAGAAAAAAAGTTCAAATAAACCTACGACCTAAACCTCTTAATTTTTGAGTTACAGGGTGTTAAAATTTTAAGAAAAAAAATGGTTTTTTATCATAACTTTAATAACTTCCTAGATATTTTTATAAAATTTGGCACACGCCTTCTAAGCATTAACAGTAAGTTTTTGATGTAGAAGATTTTGTATTTTTTTTACCAGTGGCGTCCGTACAGGATGTGGTCTAGATATTTTTGGAAAAATATTATGCACGCCACTGCTATTTTTCAAAATAAAAATTATTTTTTAAATCCCCATTCATTTTAGGGCAAATTTAATTTCTTGACCATTTTTCGTACGACTAACGGTTTTGGATGAAAAAAATAAAAAGGATTTAATGCGCATAGATATGTAATGCATATCAGCAACCTCAGCATTTGTAAAATTTACCATTGTACTTATACGTTTAAAAGGTGTTACGTTTTTAAATTTTAAGTAAAAAGCCGTGTACTTAAATATCTGTCAAAACTGTTAAAAATTATTTATTTTGTCATCAAAAACTTACTGTTAATGCTTAGAAGGCGTGTGCCAAATTTTATAAAAATATCTAAGTTATTAAAGTTATGATAAAAAAACGAGTTTTTTCTTAAAACTTTAACACCCTGTAACTCAAAAATTAAGAGGTTTAGGTCCTAGGTTTATTAGAACTTTTTTTTTAATCAACTAAGGATTCACACCCTTAAGGTTCAGCATCTTATTCTGACACCCTGTATATTTACCAAAATTTTGTTTGTTTAAATACCTATATGTATACCTTTTTAAAATAAAATTTTGTTTTATAAAAAGTTAAAAACAGATGACATTTCCAAAATTCTGTCAAACACTTACCTTCTAGCTTAGTGTTAATTAACATATTCACAGTTTCCGAAATAGTTGGCCCCGGAATTTTAAACGATAAGTAGATCCGACGTCTATCTGACCATAAATAAAAAGCACAAATTGATAACCAAGCCACTAATATTAAGTCTAACATCGTATCTTTGAATGGGATTTAATACTAAAACAATACATTATTATATTTTGTTATATTTTTTAGCAATAATAACGACTTATTTTTAAGTTGAACTTACATTGTTGTACAATTGCACATAAAGGATTAATGCTGATACCAAACTTGACTTGATAAACTTTCGTTAAACCAAAAAATCTTGTCCTCTTATTTTAGTAATTAATATTTTACCTGTTGTTAAGAGTTTAAGATAAACTGGTCTGTACTAAAAATAGACCTACCTGCTTTCATTAAATTTGTTTTATTTTTTTGCTGTATTCTTATTTAATATTTGGGTCATTAACAGTAATTAATTATATTATGAAAGTTAAAGACATTAAATACCTATATTTTTATTTTTTCTTGCATACAAAAAATACTTACTAATGGTAGCATTTACGTTTTTATAAAAATAAAAATATGCATTAGCAAATACAATAGATTTACTTAGTATAATTTTATATAATAATAATATATCTAATGTTTCATCTACAACGTATTGATTCATTTTTAATTCTTTTAGTTCTAACATACAACCACAAATATGTATGGCAAGCATAAAGTGTTTAAAAAAATTAAAAATTTTAATCTTAACTATAATTATCAAAGTAAAGTTATAAAACCTACACCTAAAAATGGTTTCTTAGAAAATATTACAACAAACTCTACAGTAAATGGTGTATATTTCATGGGAATGCATAAATTGCACATTTTAGAAAGGTACATCTTTTAAGAATCTATTACAATTATAATTAAACACCATTAAAAGTTATAATCGTATATTTTTATACAATCCGCCAGGCGAGAGACGTAAATCATCCGAGTAAATATTGCTTTCTATACTCAAATTAAGTAATTTTTATTATTAACAATAGTATATTATAGACTACACAGAAAAAAATCTAACATAGTACCAAGAACAATCATTGAATGCATTAAAATTTAAGCAATCTAAATTGTTATTTGCTCAATTAATTACTATTAAACCAAAATAGGGAAATATTTTGCCTAAATGTCAAGGATTTTATTGCGTTAAATGTATACATAGTATAAATACAATAGTAACGTTATTAAATAAATCAAATTAGTATTTAATGCAATAACATTCGAACATTCTAACAAATAAATATCAATATGAATATCAATAGATTTAGGAGCGATAACTTTTGTTGTTAATTTAAAAACAGTAAACGATTATAAACCAAGTGCTACCTATTGGTATTATAGGAACTTTTATTTAGGAATACGGATTACAAGATCCCATTGGTTTAATGGCTCACCCATTCATGCTATGCTAGCGTTTTTTCTGTGTAGCCGGAGAAAGCACAAATTATCGCCGAGCATATCACTGCCGATATGCGATAGCTTGTGTGCGAGGCAACTAATAGGCTTTCGCCGCTGGGTTTAGTGTACTATCATTTTAAAGCATTTAATTAAATAATTTCTTAAGATTCTGTTACATCATGTTTAGGTTAGGTTCAACTGGCATATGATGACATTTAAATGTCTTAAATTTAGCTTTATTTCTGTACGAAGTTTAATAATAATTTTACTGTTAAACTAGTATTAATATGAAGACTTTTTATATAGACATGAGTCTTATATGAAAATTATTGTACGCTTGAAATTTCTGAAGTGAAATTTATTTGGCGTTCTGATGTTTGACGAGAATGGAGATTGAATTGGAAAAAATGTAACGTTCCGAAATTTCGTTACACGAGAGAGAGAAAAGATATAACGTAGAGAGAAGGAGAAAGAGAGCTATACGAGTGAACCCGAGTGAATCCCATCGCCCCTCCCCAGATGCCCCTTTCCAGATGCATTGTAAGCAGATTGCCGGCGTAGGCGAGGATTTAGTTTTGTTTTGCATTTGCTAGTGTGTATTTCGAGCGTTTTAACATAAATTAATTTCTTTTATTTAAAATTATAAGTTATACTGTCCCACACATTGCAAGAGAAAATTGACATAATAAGCTGGTCTTTAGTGGGCAAGTCTCTATGTCAAACAAGAAACCTGTAGGTTATATTCTCAGTTAAATATCCGCATAGTTCTATTCCGTCAATTAGAACGATAACAAACGTACGTTTGTTATCGTTCTAATAACGTTATTCATAGGTTTAAAACAATTGTTCCTATTTCGAGGCGGAAAACGTAATTTTAGCGACACAAAGTATATACGTAACTTGAAAAAATGATTTCTTTTTTCGTTTTGGAGTTATGATTTTTTGAAAGCCCTGCTGCAATAAAAGTGTGTAAAATAAGAGTTATAAAGGACAAATCATACATATTTTTTGTTGCAAAACATTCACACATCCACGTGACTCACCTCTTCTCTCTTCATACTTTCCGTACACCTCGCTAAATAAATTTCACTTTAAAAATTAGGTACTTCTAAACCAAATGGATTTTTATTCAAATGTAAAAAAATGTTTTTTCATTATCTAAAATTGGATTCCAAATGTTTTGTTTTGAAATTTTCAGACTTTTATGGTTATTTATAGTGATTTGTGCATTAGGAGGAGCGATTGCCTTGGGATACAGCAATTGGCAAAGATATTCTGCCAATCCTACAGTCGTCTCTTTGCAAAAGGACTTTCGTAACTGGTTAAATCCTTTTCCCGCCGTGACTGCATGTTATGTGAACAAAGTTGATCAGGATAAGGCACAACAATTTATACAAAAGTATTAAAATAATAATGAAAATAATGTTATTACTGATATAATATTTCTTTTTAGAACATGGGGAGTAAATCCTGAGGATTCAAAGTATAACTATTACCTGGATTATGTAAATGCAGTTGCAAATGTGTCATATCATAATTTGGAAAATTTTAAAAAATTTAGGAATGATTCTAGTCTAAAAAGTGTTGACATGTTGGACATTGCTATAAACGTATACCTAGTAGATTTTTTATTTTTTAAATTTAATGGCATAAAAGCACAAAATTACTATTATATTTTGATTTCTTTTAAAATTTCATAGAAATACACACAAACTAAAGTTCATTTTTTTTATCTGGACTGCGGCAACGTTGCAAATTTAGGATTTTGGTTGGTAAATACAGTTGTCAAGTTGGTCGCATTGATTAAAACAAACTAAGCTAGTTATAAATCTAATTGTGGTTATGAATAAATTATTGTAGGTTACATTGTGCAGTTGTCAAGTTGAGTTGTCGAAATTCGTAGTTAAAAATGCAATTAATTTGGCTTTGGTGGTGCTTGGATTAGTAAAATAATATAAAAAAGTAGTTAAATATAGGTTGCTCTACGGGCCAGAAGAGAAAGTATTCCTAGCGGGTAATAATCTTTGCTTTGAAAAGAATTTATATAAAAGAAATTAAAATTTTTTGTGAACGTAAATGTTGTCCAATGGTGAATAATGTGAAAATAATGTGTGATGTAATATTTATAAAACCAAATTCGTTACTTTTTTACTCCAAAATGTCCATAAGGCGATATACTTTTTCTTCCATTGTGGCATTTTGCATAATTTCATCAAAATGAAAAGGGCTTTTACATTCAAATTCGTTGCTATTATTTTTGGCATAATTATCTTTTTATTTATAAATGACAAGTAAATTATCAATAATAAATATTATTGTCAATTTGACAGTGTCAAAGTATTTAATTAAATTCTTTAGCAGAAGTACCATTAAAGTCAAACTAGCATAAGCCACCAACCTAACAAAAAAACACGAGTGCAGATAAAAAAATGAACTGTTGAACACTTTTTATAAATATTTTTCTACAGGTTCATCCCCCCATTACTGGAACTTTGGCAACATTTGACACCAAACGAAAATCAAAGTGGGTTATGATTATGACCGAAATTGGAATTTGTTTTTCAGTAAATTCCAAATTCGCACACATTTTATCAATAAGGTTTATAAAACTAACAAAATGAATCTTATAAATCACTTTCAGTATTCTATATTTTTAGAGCCAATGAAAATAAAACCAAACAAACATTTGATAAAAGAATTTTAAGATGTCACAATTTAAATGGAATATGTTATGCAAGATACGACTCTGATCCTACTTTACAGCTATATGTATAAGATTTGTTAATTTACATTTGGGTGTTATTTTTATATTTTTTAGTTGAAATTTGTGTTTTAAAAATTATAATAAAATTTTAAAATTATAGTGTAGGTACCTACCTACATGGCGCGATGTAGTATCCAGTAGCAAAAGTTTTGTTAAGAATGACTTTTTGATCACTTGGATTTTATATTTTTAGTACCATGTTCATTCCTATTTGGATGTGGTCCACGCCACTGGGGAAACACCAATTTTCCTGAACTGCAGTCAAGAATTGGAGATAAACTTCAGAATGCAAGAAACTTCTTCCTCGCCCAGAATAAGATACCTAAGTCCAGCTCAAAGAAAATGTCATTTTGATGATGAGCCTACATACAAAGAAATTCCAAATTACAGCAGAAGCCTTTGCTATATAAATTGCAGATACAAAATCGCAATGCAAAAGTGTGGCTGTAACCCCATCTTTTATTACTATATAAGTAAATGCAATTTTTACAGCTATTTTTCGTTTTAGGAAATTTTACAAATTTATATCCCAGCAAACACATAGGTAAGTCTGATTATGTAATGGCCAATTACATACCCTATTGTAAATGACCAATAGAATCCAATAAAAAATAAGTAAGTGGTTTGAATTGGTTTGAAATGTGTTTTGGCGATATGAATCATCAATTCATTCCAGTTGAATTCCTATTGGTAAGTTCCAATGAAGTCAGCGGCTTAAATTGGAATATACCAATCCATGCCTAATGCTTGTCACTATTGGCTAAATCCAAAAGAAATGCACCTGGAATGAATTGGTAATTCATAGCGCCAAACCCATTCAAACCAATTTAAACCATTTTTTTTTAAATTTGGATAAAAAATACCAGTTGATTTTTCATTCAAAAATAATTAAGCTTCCAGAAGAATAACCGGGTAGAAACCAGAATTAATTTTTCACAGAAGAGACAAAAAAATTATTACAACTGAGTAACTTTATTTCTTTATAATTTTTTTGTGTTAGTGAGATATTTATTGATACATATAACTTAA